ATTTGCCGTATGCGATTTGCCGTAGGTATGTGATTTGCTGTAAGCGATTTGCCGTATGCGAATTCATTGGGGAGTGACTGCCATTGAGATAAAAGCGTTAACATGACCCCGCGGGGTCACTGATGACTGATGCCACCGTATAAGCCCGTAGGTCACCATATTCAAACGGTAGACGAAATTGCAGGAAAATCGACTGGTGGGCGGTGGCGTTTCCGTCTCAATCGGTCCAGTGATTGCTGAGCTATATGCAATGGCTGAATACTGAATAGGCGACCGACTTCTCGCATAGGTTATTGGATTTCGCAGCTCAACCTGAGTTTAGGTACTGGTGGATCTTCTGACTCGACAACTTATTTTGGTAGGGAGAGATCGACGAAAATCTCAGAGATCTTACTGATTCAAGCATATAGCAATAACGGCGCCCCAAATGCAACAGCAAACTTCAGCGCGTGAAATATACCATGCTAATAGTAATATACCAATATACCAAATATAGTATACCACGTCACAAAGCTAACGATACCTACTTAATGCACAAAGGGCGTAAAACCGTTTATTGGCAGAGTCATAATGCACATGTGCTACCGGACCTTGGAAGGAGTGTAGGTATAGGTATGAAATCATAACTATGTGTGCCATATTTAGTCCGTGCCCCGTTGAGATATTGGCGGACCCTGCCACCTGTTGGGGAGAGGCCGTTTCGGCCCCATCCATAGGCGGCGGAACGGGGAGGGCACCGGGGCACCGTGCCCCCCTTTGCTTTTGGCATTTTAACATTAGCTCTATGGGCGTTGCATGGAAAGAATGGGACCAAAAGTCGGCAGTGCCCCCCCCCCTTAATTGAAGGTGTTCCACTGCTACTGCCCCAAGCCCCTAAGATCTCGATGTTACTGACCGATTTTTAAATTTTAACGGCGTTCGATAACGTACATACGTATAGGGGAGAGTGCCCAATCTGCGCCCCGTCGCCCTCGGGGCTACGGGAATTGCGCCCTCGTCATTTTCTGTGAACCCAATAGGTCAATTGGTGTTAGAAAACAATTTATCAATAACAATAATCAAAACAGTATTTTCGACCTACCGCTACCAGCGTAAGGTTGTAAGCCGCGTACTTGGAGTCAGCGGCGTCACCACGGTTTCAGAACTTCTAGGGACACTTTTCCAGGGCGTCGCCAACCTTTGCTCGAGTCTGGTCGCCAATACCCACCTACCCCCAAATCGCGTTCCTCGTTGGATTTCGGCCACTGTAATTTAAAAACGAGGGAGAATAGGAATTAATATTTAGTTGGGAAAATTCGAAGAAGTTACGCAGTAGTAGGTAGGCATATTCTTCTATCATGAAACGCGTGCCCACATCATTCTGCCTATGCATGTGACACATTAGTATATGCAAAATCGTATAATCGGCTCACTGCTCATCCTTGAGCTGCTCTGCTCGCAGCTCCTCGGCACTCAGTGGTTTGATTCCCATCTCAATGACGGTACAAACCGACCGAGTGCACGATGCACGAGTCGAGGTCGATGACCACGGTCACTTTTTGGCCTTGCCCTTCTTTCATTGCCCTCCAGTCCAAGACAAACGGCTCAGTCCATCCACGTGCGGTATTTCGCGCCCCGTGCGATGCCGCACCTCGAACTCAGAATCGAGCACGAGCAGCCTCAATGCATCCCTCGCAAGTCGTGAGAAACATTTGGGTTCCGTTGTGGCCTGGAGCAGGTATCCGAGAGCGCTGTTGTCTGTGGTCACTGGTCAGTATGAAATGTCGACCGTCAAGGTAGTAAAAGAACTTCTCAAAGAGCAAAGACGACCACCAGGCTCTCTTTTACCAGTATAGGCTGCGGCAGCTGGGACGGCGTCAACATCCGGCTAGCGTAAGCTATAGGGTGAGAGCCAAGATACCTATAAGAAACAGGTAGGTCCGATGTTTTGAGTAAAGCCCACGTAAAGCCCTGGTGACGTCACTGACATTTCTTATATGGAGAATTTCGCCCATAAGAAAAATATTTTACATACGAAAATTTGTACTTCATTCGGAAAAAATACATTCTATCAATTTCATCATGAAACTTAAATAATTTAATTAAAAAACTTGAAATCCTTTGAGTGCTTGTCCCAACCCCTGCTATACCTTTGGTCACGTGACTTCCATGATAAACTTTGCGTTTTGCAATGTTATGACTTAAACAGAAGCAATAAATGTTACAAGCGTATTATTTATGATGTTTTAGGCAGCAATCGTGTAATAACATCCTTAAATTATATACATTTTGCTTAAAAGAGGTCACGTGATGTTACCAGATTGTGCTCGGACAGCATCTTTTTGAACTTCGATTTTGAGTACTTTTTACCTTCATTGAGTCCTAATAACGGACGTTTTTAGTTATAAAATGAAGCAATGAATCTATTGAGGGCAAAATTTAATCATTTTTGCACTTTCAAGCCGGGCTATCCTGGCATGAACTTCGGCCGGTTTGTGTGTGAAGCCTATGGTGAAGGGAAAACTTCACGCCCGGCTGACGTCACAGACCTCGGCTACCAAATCGTGTCCGGTGGGGGTCGGTGAGAGCCATCCTCAAACTTCTGTGATGCAGCGCCGCTCACACTGCTCGTCAGCTCTAAATGCGCCCATGCCATGGCGCATTTTGTGTGGGCGAAATTCGGAATGTGTCAAATGGCAGCAAAATATTGATATTGCTGCACAATAGGCATGTACATTGTACAGTCTTATTTTTTGTCTCTCCACACCCGGCACATTTACCAAAATACTATTAAAATCACTTTTTAACCCGCGCCCGGCTGGGGGTCCTGGATTTCCACGCCCTGCTGGGGGGTGTTTGAACACCCCCCCCCCCTTGTAACTCGGCTCCTGGGCCACGTAGCGATACGCGGAAGGCGGCGTTCGAAAGAGCGTCAAAAATAATGACGAAATCACTTCGGTCAATTTTTTGGTCAGGTCAAAGGTCAGGTCACCAGAGGTCATTGACGGCAAAATTTCGCCGATTTCCAGGTCGAATGTCGAAAATTTCCAAGAAGCCAACGCATAACTCGGGAACCAATAGAGCTACAGCGCCGCGGAAAAGCGCATTCGATAGCCCTATAAACGCCCTTTCTGAGTAATTCTCTCAGATTTGACCTAACGTCAACGGTTCTGCCTGCAGGGGGCAAAAACTGCAAAAATAACCGTTTTTTCGAAAACAGTTTTTCTGCAATAACTTTTGACCCAAGCCTTGTACGAGCTTAGTTTTACCGGCATCGTGTTCCTCTCGTCAAGACGCATCGAACGAAGTATAACTTGACCTTGAAAGGTCAACTTGAAAATTTGACTTAAGGTCAAGGTCATGACCTGACCGGAAAGGGTCATGTTGCATATTAGTCGATCCGTATCGTCGAGCTGAACACATCTAAGGCGTTTTCATCGCTCTAGCATGCCTCTATCAAAAGTTATTTGCGAAAAACTGTTAGATACCATTCGCGACCTAAGATGACCTCAGGGTATAAACAAGGGTCACGGACACCATTTTCATGTTCAGTGTGTCTAAACCACTTGTAATTCGGTGTTTGGGAGTGTTTATAATGTCTTGCATCCAAAAGAGGCGCATTTCAATTTTCTCCCATTGACTTATAATGGCGAGGTCGCAAAATTGACCTGACCTTAGGTCATCGATATCAAAATTCTGAGATATACATTTTGTACATGCTATTGCCCTTAGCAATCGCTGAAAGTTTCAAAGCGATCGATCACTCGGTGTAGCTATGACAGACATTGAAAGTTTTTATGAGGTGAGGTCACTTCAAGTGACCTGGTGACCTGACCTTGAATGACCTTGGTCTGAAATTTTAACAACATGTGTAGAATTGATGTATGATAAGGTGTACCAAAAACGGCGGCGCTCCGCGCCGCCGTTTTTGAGATATTCGCGAAAAACCACAAGGGGGGTGTTCAAACACCCCCCACCCCTGCAGGGCGCGGGTTAAGCAAAAAATAAAACATGAGGGTGTAAATTTTATTTATTTTTGGTCGATCTATCGTGGAATGCCCCAGCATTGAAAACTGATATTTTATCTGTGTTAACCGTTTATTGTTCCCTGGGCCTCGTTTCATAAAACGAGTCCGTAACTTACACCGGTTTTTGGTCTTGTGTTGCAAGTGCATGTCAAGCGATAAATTTATTTCCCCCTCTCTCTTCTGTTCTTGCTTGTCAAATAAATAAATTCAACGATTCAAACTATCGGCATCACTTCACATGCACTTGCAATTCAAGACCGAAACCCGACGTATGTTCCGGACTCGCTTTATGAAACGAGGCCCTGGTCTGTGTTCAGTGTTTTAACTTCAATCTCTCCTGAGCACTGCATCTGCGGGACGGGACCATTGACCAGAAACTGAGAAACCAGCCCCGGCCCGCAGCTTCCCCCTGTGAACACGCACGGAATGCGTGCCGACAGGCGTTCCGGGTCGTTCCAGACAGGGGCTGGATCGAGTAGCCAGCGCCGGCGGCGGCAGACGGGCCGGGCTGTCAAGGTCACCACCCCGGCGACCTCCCGTGTTCGGAGAAACGGCCGGCCGGTCGCCGGTGTTTCCGTCCGCGCCGCGTTGGAGTCACCGCCCGCCCCTCTCAGTCCCCCCCCCCCCATCCCCCTGCGGTGGCCGTCAGCACTCGAGTGGTATGACCGTGATTTCCATAACGGCGGGTGCGGCAGAGGTCATTACAGACGTGGCGACCATCAGTGTCACAGAATGAGGGAGAGAGAGAGAGAGAGAGAGAGAGAGAGAGAGAGAGAGAGAGAGAGAGAGAGAGAGAGAGAGAGAGAGAGAGAGGGAAAGAGAAAGAGGGAAATATAAAACAGAGAAAGACATAAACAGAAAAAGAAACAAGCATCGATACAGGCAGATTTTTAGGTACAGTGACGGATTCGAACATCTGATAGGCTGATTCATATTTTACTTGCACTTCAATTTTATGTAGGCATCTGTAAGGTATCCTTTTTACCTTCTTACCTCTTCAACGGTCCATGTAACGAAACGACCGGCTCAGCTTGCCTCACCACGTGTGCTTATATTTTCTGCGGCCATCACCGGCGCACAACCACCGCACTTCAACTTCACACATAATTTCGGCTTCCAGAGTGTATTGGGTTTGACGTCCAATACAGATAACGACGAACGATAGGTGCGTTATTGCTCAGCTCGTCCCGAGGGACCGACGAAAACCAACGACGAAAAAATGGTTCGACACCAAGGCCTCGACACACTCAATATACTCTGGCCTCGACCAAGGCCCTATATACCTCGACACTGTCGTGACCTTGGTCGTGACCGGCGACCGCACCGCCCCACGACACGAACTCGAATGAATGCTAATTCAATGCCTGCCGCTAGATGTCTCCCAAGCTAATTCAATGCCTGCCGCTAGATGTCGCCTACATTATTTACAACACCCTCCCAGCCTTTGAAGTCAACAGAACTTCAAACACAAGGTCACTGCCGCTATAAGTTTGTGTTAACGTACAGGGGCGTAGGCAGGGGGGGGCCACTGGGCCATGGCCCCCCCCTTGGGCGCCGAAGGCGCCCTTTGCGATTGGAGGGCGCCGAAGGCGCCCTCCAATCGCAAATGCAATTGTGATATAATCGAATCGAAAAACAATCGCGACTGGAGGGCGCCCTCCAATCGCGAATGTGTTTACAGGGAAAATACGGATGGAGGGCGCCCTCGGAGGACGCCCATTCCAAATACGCCCTCCAAATACGGTTGGAGGGCTCCCTCGGGCGCCCTCCAACCACATTTGTAGGCTGTAGCTCTCTAAGCGTAACGGTGGTCGCCTATGTAAGCCGCTGTCCTGTAAATAAGCGCCCTCTCACCCGAAGGCGCCCTCCTGTAGGTCGCCACCCTGCTACACATTGCCGCCCTTCTGCTGATCGGCGTCCTCATAATTATTGGCGCTCTCCTACCTATGATGTGAAATTTTGAAGGCCGCCTTTCTCCCTTTTGGCACCCTCTTGTTCAGTGCCGCCCTCCTACCTATTGGTTCCCTAGTCCTTCCTGTTGAATGTTAATCGGGGCCCTTCTCCTATTGGCGCCCTCGTGTAGATCGCCGCCCTCCTAACCACTGGCACCCTCCTGTTGATCACCGCCCTCCTATCCACTGGCACCTTCCTGTTGACCAGCGCCCTCCGCACAGACGCCCTCCTGTTCGTGTCATCCTCTTGAGCAAAGGCGCCCTCCTCACCATTGCCACCCCCATTTTAATCGTCACCCTTCCGCTCATTGGCGACTTCCAGTTGATGACCGCCTTCCCACCTATTGGCGACCTCTTGTTGATCGCCACCCTCCTATTGGTGCTCTCCTGTTCCTCGCCACCCTCTTACCTGGTGGCGCCCTCCTGTTGATTGTTGATCGGCGCCCTCCTACCTATTGGTGCCCTCCTGTTGATCGCTGCCCTTCTATCCATTGGCGCCCTCCTGCTGCTCGCCAACCTCCTACCTATCGGTGCCCTACTGTCGAAACTCGGGATGTTGATCGGGGCTCTTCTACCTATTAGTGCCCTCCTGTGGATCGCAGCCCTTCTACCTATTGGCAACATCCGTTGATCGCTGCCCTCCTATCATTTATTTACTCCTTTGGCATGTTTTTCAACTTAGTCGTTCTATTGCACATAGTTGATGTCTTGCCTGTGAAAACTGCCACAAATGAACGTGCATTCAGCACAATGAATGAAGTATCTGTACCTACCAAAACTATCTACGCTCTACGATGCATAAAACACGTCTTTGGTCTTAACGGATTGATCCTACTTTACGTGCATCATGGCATCTATATGGATTACGATTAAGTATTGTCAACAGGTTCGGGCGCAACAGCAGGCATCTGAAGTTTCGGTGATTGAAACTGGTTATGTGGGTACACTGTATGCATCTGTGAGAAGGCTATGAAGGCTGGTCTGAGGTAATTTGGATGATGTTTACGCATCTCGCGCTCCGGTATCAATCCGATACGGTGATCTGGTGCGTAGATATGCCACCGCCAATAAACTTTTATACATCGACACCCATGAGCCAAGCTTTCTGTACAGTTTGTGTGGCAGCGGCCCGACCAAACCTTTGGTATTTTTTACACCTTCAAATTTGGTAAAAGAGCGAGAGGAGCTTTGAACAGTGATCGTATAAAAGGCGTGCCTAAAAAGCGGAGGAAAAGGTTGTTTTCAAAAATTTCGCGCGCCTTCGGCGCAGCATTTCAAGAACACTTGACCTTTTGTGACCTGGAGTATAAAGAATACACACGATGCAAAATCAATGCAGCACGACCTATACGAGGTTACGCAAAAAAAAAAAACTGGTGGCATGGTAAAAAACGCCTCCCAACCCCCCAACCCCCACTGAGCGATTTTTTATCTCGCGACCGTATGGCGCCCTCCTTGGGTGAGGTGGCGCCCTCCAAACCCTTGGCCCCCCCCTTCGCGATTTTCTAAATACGCCGCTGTTAACGTACACTACAACATATGGATATCGACCGCGAACTAACTAACATGATAGGTACACAGACAGTTCAGGTCTAAACGCCAAGTAATCCGACTACTGGCGGCTAATACGTGAAATTATACGCTAGTGACACTCTACCTCCAAGAGCGACAATGTATCTCAAACGCTAACCTTCAACGAAACACGTCTTAAGTGCCATTCAGCACGAGTTCTCGCAGGCGAGGCAGACAACTTAACACAATACGCAAGTCCAACTAGAGTACCTGCTTAGCCTGTGGGCGCTACATTTGACCCGAACGAGTATAATCTCAAGCAAACCAAATTTGGTTCTACACTCACGGACTTTACTCCAAGCCCGATATAAACAAAGGAACCACCAGTCACAGGCGACACCGGACCAAACACAGAATGGACACATATACGTCACCACCGCACTTAGTAAATGCTGAAGACAGTGATCGGTCCCGCCCTGCTGCCAGTATCACTGCACCTCCAAATCGTGCAGGCGTTGGATAGGACGAGTTTTCAGCCCTGACGAGGTCCGCACCTCGACTGATCTCACTCGCCCGTCCCTCCCCATGTGAAGCTTCGTCACTACTCCGTGAACCCACCTCATCCTGGGCACCTTGTCTTCCCGAAGCAGGACAAGCGATCCGACTGCTAACCTGCCCCGAGTCCGGAACTTACCGACAACTGGCGGCAGTGAGCGGAGATATTCTGATGACCAGACCGACCAGAACTTGTTGAGCCGCTTCTCACGCACACGAGCTCTCTCTGATAGCTCTCTGGGATTCACAGAACCCGGGTCTTCCAAGACCCGTGCGGGAAAACCCGTCCCTCTGCCAGTCAGGAAGTGAGAGGGCGTCAGGGGTGGTGCTGCTTCGAGCCCGTCACCGACGAAGGTTAGAGGGCGAGAGTTTATGCAGCACTCTATCTCGAAAAGGACTGTTTCAAGCTCTGTCCGTGAGAGACACCGTGTCCCAAGTGTCTTACGGAGTCCTGACTTCACGGATCGCACGAGGCGTTCCCACCACCCGCCCCACCACGGCGAGTGAGGGGTGATAAATCTCCACTCCGGAGCCAGGTGTCCAAAGAAACGCTGCAGCTGTGCGTCAGCCCCCTTGAAAGTCGGCGCGTTGTCCGAGTAAACGACTCTGGGAACACCGCGCCTCGCCGAGAATCGTCTCAGCGCCATCATAAACTCTACCAATGACAAAGCCTCAGTCATTTCAAGATGTACCGCGCGTGTGACGGCACACGTAAACAAACACACATAAAACTTTTTGCGCGGGAAATCGACACTGAAAATCGGCCCAGCGAAATCCACACCAGTAACTGTGAATGGCGGCGACTCGGTCACTCTACAGTCCGGCAAGGGAGCCGCCTCCTCATTACACGGCTGCGAGTCGTGCCGCTGGCACGACACACAGCCACGTTTCACACGTTTTGCGAGGCAGCGCAGACCCAATATAAAATAGGCCCCTCTGAGCGTGGCTACCATCGTGTTCACACCAGCATGACTCAGTAGGAGGTGTTGTTCTCTGACCAAAAGCTCGGACAAATGGCCTCTGGGTAACAACACTGGGTACTTCTCCTCGTACTGTAGGTCAGACATTTGTAGCCTACTGCCCATTCTCAGCAGACCATCGTCACCCACGAAGGGGGCCAATCGGAAAATGCTGGAGCCCTTTGACACTTTCTTACCCTTCTCCAGAGCGGTCCACTCCTCGTGAAACTCGCTCCGCTGCTCCTGACGCAGCAGCTCGCGCTTGGCCTCAGCCAACTCGATGGAGGACAACTCATGACGCCTGGACCTCTGCTGAGGGCAGCGACAGTTTTCAATGAAGCGACGCACCCATGCTACGACTCGCACCGCCTTTGAAAACTTTCCCCAGCGCTCTACCGGAAAGACGCGCTCAGGTTGAGTCACAAACAAACTAACATTGCTGATTTCCTCAGACTCTTTCAACATTTCTCCCCTGACAAAATCAGATGAAACGAGATCTCTGTCCGGCGAAGATTCACCGGAGGGCAGCAGCGCCTCGCCGAGATAGCGCGCGCCTCCCGCGCCGCCGGCGCTGTCACACGCCGCGGTCTCCCGAGGAGACTCGGCCGGACCCGGAGCCGATACCAGAACGGCCTCGTCGACCGGAGTCTCGCTCACCTTCGACTCGATCTGTCGTGGGGGGTGACCCGCGGTCTCCGACAGCCAGGCAGGCCCCACCAGCCACACATCAGACGCGAGCAGCTGCTCCGCCGATACGCCTCGAGTCGTCAGGTCTGACGGATTGTCCTCCCCCGGCACGAACTCCCAGTCGGCAGGGCTGGTCAAACTGTGAATCTCGATCACTCGGTTACGCACGAACTGCTTCCATCTTTGGGGATCACCTCGTATCCACCCAAGGGCGACCATGGAATCAGTCCAGCACTTACAAACTGTGCTGTCTGGCAGACACAGAGCGCGGCGGACATGAGTCACCAGTCGAGCGGCGAGAAGGCTGCCTAACAGCTCTAATCTCGGCAGACTCACTGTCTTCACCGGCGCCACTCTGCCCTTCGTCATCACCAGTGTGACACTGTGCGAGCCATCTGACAGCGGGGAACGGAGGTACACTGTAGCACCGTACCCACTCGGGGAGGCGTCGCCGAAAGCATGTAGCTCCGCCCCCGCCTCTGCGCCACTCCAGCCCTCGACTGAGTAGGAGCGAGGGACTTTGAACTGCTTTAGCGTCTCCAGACCATCTAACCATCTGGTGAAGACTGAGTGACTTTCAGCGGGCAACAAC